ATGAGAGATCTTTTGGTCCAATCCTCCAATTTGTTTAGGTCACTATGAATCCTAGTTCTACCCTCCGGCATATCTACTACTTCCCCCAGCTTGGTATCATCTGCAAACTTGCTAAGGGTGCACTCTATGCTCAGTGACTTCCAGGTCATTGAAGACTTTGAACAGAACCAGCTCCAGGACCAACCCTTGGGGCACTCCACTCAATACCAGCTGCCAACTGGACATAAGCAATTGATTACTCCCCTCTGAGCCCAGTGCTCCAGCCAGTTTTCTATCCACCTTACAGTCCATTCATCCAGCCTGTACTTCCTTGGCTTGCCTGAGAAAATGTGGGAGATGGTATCAAAAGCCTTGCTAAAATCAAGGTACACCACATCCACCGGTCTCCCCTCTTCCACAGAGCCAGTCGCTTCATCTTAGAAGGCAATCAGGTTGGTCAGGCATGACTTGCCCTTGGTGAATCCATGCTGACTGTTCCCAATCACCGTCTTCTCCTCCAAGTGCCTCCAGATGGATTCCTTGAGGCTCTGCTCCATGATTTTTCTAGTGACATTTCTGCATAAAGCCTCAGATGACTTGGCAAAGGAATTTGGCCAGTGGCAGAGCAAACAGAATCCCCCCATCCCCAAACTCCAACAGTGAATCAACTATGCAGTCACTTCAGGACCTCATGCAGCTTTCAGCGCATAAAGTTTTGACTCCTGCAATGTTACATAAATATAACTGAACATGATGTAATGAATGTAAATATCTTAACAGAATCAGAATAGGCATAAATTGGACAAAGTTAAAGTAAGAAAAGACCCTTCTCCTTTCTTTCACTGCCACTGCAACTGTGATAATGGGCTTACCTCAAAGTGCTTTACAAAAGAGGGTAAGAATAAGGACAGGCTCATTTAGAAAGTCTGTAACATATGAGCCATGAATCGTAAGTGAGGTGAAAACATGCTGTATATAAGAAGTGTGCCATCTCCTGGTCACTGGCAGTGTCATATATAAGCCACAACTTTAAATACTGTAGACTTGTTTTCTTTGGTTTCTTCATTTGTGAGATTAAGATGGCTTGACTACATAGTCCAGATTTTAAACTGGAAATCTGTGGAAAATTAAATAAGCTGTTTTAATTAAATGGTATATTTAAAACCTCTCAAACTAAACTGATCACAAACCATCCTGTGCCATTATGAGGAATTCTGAAGAATAGCTTCACTATTTTAGAAAAGAGCACTTCATTTTAAAATTGATCTAATTCAGTGCTTCTCAACCTTTTCTGACTCAAGGCACCCCTTGGAAAATGCCAGTTCCTACCCTTCACTTCATTTTCCTTTGCTTCTGGAAAAATAATAAAGCAATTCTTCTGTTTCAAAAAGCCTGGAAAGACTGTGACAGGTTATATTGACTATGAATTCCTATTTGAAATCTATGGGATTATCCTGTGAATTGTGTGTAAGTGTTTGCATACCCAACACTGATAATATGGCATGGCACTTCACAGCACCCCTAAAAGGATCCTTGGCTGAGAATCACTGACCAGTGCAAACTCTGTAACGAGGGCAAACACACGCATTTAATTCTCAGCAGTAAACTACCAACTTTACTGGGTAAACTGATATTAGCTGCAGCATCTTAAACAAATTGCAAAATTTTCCATGCTTCACTATGCAAACTTAGACAAAAGAGCTGGCCAATATTCACATTGGCCATGGACAGAGTAAACATTTACACTAGTATAAAAAAAAGGAGTAGACAGATAATGCAAATCTCTAATTTGGAATAATTTTCTCCAATCTACTGGGACAGTATCCTGGAAGGACTGGGGATAAACTTTTGCTGAAATAATTACACCAGTTCAGGTTTTGTCCATCCCAGAGCACCCATTGATAACAGCAGAGAAATTATCTGCTTTGTTTGTGGCAAAGCACCTAAATAGTCACCTACTACAGGAGATGCTCTGGAAGAGATTCCACATCTGTCTGGCTGTTTTCAGCAAAAAAAAAAGATAAACATTTTCTTGGCCCATACGAATGGCCAATTACTAACGAGCCATATCAGCCGATACTGATCTGATAGCTGATTTACAGGAATGCAGCCAGGCAACTTGGAGAGCAGCGTCCAGTCTGTAGGGGGGAAGGGGCATGGGAGAGGGAAGGGGTGTGGGAGGGAGGGAGTGGGGCAGGGGTTGCCCAGCCGGGGTGGTGAACGTGACCCTGGGGTGGGGCACATGACAGAGCTATGGGTGGCTCATCCAGGGGGTGTAGGGAGGGAGGGACAGCTTCCTGCCACTGCGTGCACCCCCAAGGGAGGCATGGGGGGCATGTCCCCCCCCAGATTTGTGCATGGGGCAAGGGCACACTGCCTGCCGCACAAAGTGAGCCAGCCTCTTCCCAGCAGGAGGTAGGGCCAGGGCTGCACTCGGGGTGGGATGGGCTCAGCTGCAACAGAGCACAGTGCCCTGAGCAGGGGCAGCACTAGGGGGGATTTGGGGATTATAGCCACACCAAAATTCCTCGTAGACCACCCCATAGCCACCCCTCCCAGCGCAGTGCCACCACTGCTGCACGCCCCATGCATCTGAGTCTGCCCTACCCCCACCTGCCCTGAGCATAGCCCTGGCCTAGCCCCCACCACCAGGAAGAGATTGGCATAGTCTCTGCCCCAAGCCCTTGCCCACCTTTGCCCTGCACACAGATCTGCCCCAAGCCACGTGCCCCCCCATGCCTTCCTCAGGTGGCTGCACAGCGGCAGGGAGCTGTTCCCCCCACCCTTCTCCCCTAAGAGCTCTGGCAAGCCGCTCACAGCTCTGTCCTGTGCCCCACCCCAACAGGGCAGCGTCAGCCCCTGTACCTGTCCCTGCCCCACTCCCTTCCTCACTGTGGGAGCCTCGATCTGCCCAGACATGCCCTTTTTCTCCCCTCCCCTACACCCATTCCTGCAACAGACTAACTGGAATGACGCTGCTCTCCAAGCTGCCAGCCTGCATTCCTGGCCACATGCATGCTGTAGCTGCATGTGCACACAGCATTTATCGATGATGTTATCAGTCAAAAAAAGCTGATTGCAGATAATGCTAATTTTCCTGTTATTGGTGCCCATCTTATATGTAACCGATATATCGGTGCAACTCTAAAAACTGATGTAGAATACGCTATGCCAGGGATTGTAACCTGTGGCCCATGGGCACGCTGGATCTGGTCTGTACAAGTCTCCTGCAGGAGAAGTGTTCACAGGGTAGGGGAGAGAGTAACAACCCAGTATCCTCAAATCCTCCCCACAGCCTCAAACCCTGCTCCTCCCCATAGGAGACACTGCTGCTGAGGAGACTGGCACTGGCATGGCCAGAACCCCAGGGGTCACTCTATCCCCCACACTGCAGCCAGGGCCTTTCTTGCCTTTAGATTTACCTTTGCTGATTGTCTTTGGCAACAGAATTCAGCAGTGGCTGCAGTAGCAGGGAGTCAGAAGGTCCCTATACCCAGCACTTGCTACCCGGGCTGCTGGCTGTACTGACACCTCCCCTGCAGCAGCAGCATTTCTCGTGATGTGGGGAAAGGGGTGTGAGGATGACAAGGGAACCAGAGCTACTAGGATGTGACCCCCGTGCTGTCTATATCAGAAGTGTGGTGAAGGGGTGGGAGAAATCATGTGACAGGAGGGAGTCAGCGGCCTGCAGTTACCATTGGCAAAGGTAGCCAAATCCTGCACCAGGATACATGTATATACATCCATGTGCATAAGTAAGAGCTTTCTTTCGGTAATATCTTTTATCGCACTAACTGTATAATTGGGAAATATGTTAGACCAGTTTTGTGTCTGAACTCTTGTCTAATATCTCTCCCAACTACATAGATGGTCCAATAAAAGATATTATCAAAAACCCCTCGTTTCTCACATATTCCCTTGACCATCACAGCTATCCCACCATTCCAATGCTACTATATACACCATAAAGACAACTTTCTAATTCAATTTACAATACAAAGAACTTTAGGGGATCTGACCTTTCCAGAAAAGATTAGATAGCAACTTTAAACAATTATATCTGCACTTCCTACACTTGATATTCCTATACTTAGAGCCAATGTAAACATTATATTTAATGCTGTCTCTAGTGGGTTATGGAATAGAGAAAATCCCACACAATTTACTGATTCGTTTTGATGCACTGGCTGGGGGAGTAGTTAGCTGACTGCACGATTTCACAATGATTACACACTTAATTTATACAACACAATTTTATTTTAAAATTCTTTGCTATGCATATAACACTGCTTAGCTTTAAGAAACACCACAAACATTAAGAACACAATAATTACATATATCAGAAACAATGCTCCGAATGCACTTCCTTCCCAAACAATGCTATAAGAATTAGTATTACAAAAACAACTACAATTACAACTAAAAGTTAAATTTGAATCAATACTGTTATTTTCATAATATACTTACAATCCTATAATTCCGAGAAGCCAAATACCAAAATATGGTTTCATTCCTCAGTAGTACAATTTAATGGGTTGGCCTCAGTAGTACGGTTCAATGGGCTGGCCTCAATACTGATAGGACTAAGTCCTCTTCCTTCAGTCCCTTTTGGGCGCTCTGCAGCTTCAGCGTGAACTAAGAGATTCGTGTTCACGGAGAGGTTGGATTAGGCGATCAATCTAATCAGACCTTATACTTGCGATTCTTCCTTCGTTGTTCTGCAAGTATAGTCACCTCCAATTTGGGAGAGTAAGTTACAGTTTTTATTGTGAGCTACCGTCTTGGGCCACTCCTACTCAAACCTGTCATTACCCCCAAATTTGGGCTGATCTCTCGGAACTCAGGATATTCGCTCTCTTTGTAAAAGACTTCTAAAGATAAAATTCAGAAGTTAAAACTTTAAACAAAGTCAGGACCTTTCGCATGTAGTCCAAAAACAATGACTTAGATAAGGAGATAGATCTTATCTTCTTCCTGAAACTGGCTAATGGGCAACCATTACAAACATTCAAAGTATTTCATTCAATATGACAAATGCAAGTATTGCTAGGTACATCAAGAGAGTGAACAGCTTCCACATGAAATGTCTGAGTAAGATCCTGAAAATAAAGTGGGAAGACAGAATACCAAACTTTTGCATGTGCTGCGAGGGTGGAGGGGCGATGCTTTAATTTGCAGCATGTTGGAGCAGCCTCTGCGCTCATGTACAGGCACCCAGAGGTACTGGAGCATGCAAGACTAACACACTTGGCCAATCCATTGCAACTTCCTCTTCTTGATAGCGATGTCTATGTCAGGAGAATGGGAGGAGACCATATCCCCAAGAATATTTTGTACAGTGAAAATCACAATGGCTCTAAAAAGCAGGGTCTATGGCGGTACCGCAATGTATGTAAAATGATAAGAAGTCGTTTAACGTCAATGTAGAAAGTGAGGAGGAGCACAGAGAATCCCATCTGATCTGGTGGGAAGATTAAGCGCTGGGTGCAGTTCAACATGAAGCAGCTTTGACCCAGAGGATGGAAGCAAAGCAAAAAAGAAGAAAGCAGCATGCTGCAAACTTGGACTCCAACTCAGACAATACATGGACCTATGAAACTTGTAACAACCTGTGCCACTTTCAAATTGGGCTTGTCAGCCACAAATGGATTCATCATGCATCTGACTAGACCTCTTACACGTACACCATGATCCAGAGATTGACAGTTGCCTACTACTGTTCCAAATATACCCCACCTTGTCCTTATTTTAAATGATCAAACTACAAAGTACACTAAATAAAATGCCAAAAGGAAAATACACTGAGAAAAAATCTAAAGATCTAAAATTATCTGCTAAGTAATGTATGTCTCACAGCTATGAATTGCAGTGATATTTTCAAAAAAAAGGACAAGTTCTTGGTACTTGACTCCATTCTCATTAGACAGCCACCCTCATTTTGTTTATGAGTTTATTTACAAGCTTTGAATTTCACATTTAAACACTTACCAGATTAGCTTTACAGTTTAAGGAAACAAACAAGAAATTAGTTCTAAATATTTTTTATTAAAGGTTAACTTGAAGTAAACATAGCTGTTTAACAAAGAGCTGCAGACAGTACAATTATGAAAAATATAACAGTCAAACCATGCAGCTTGCTGTAAAGTGCCCTCCTTTTTTGCAGAAACTGAGCCTGTCGCAGATTATAAACCATTCCTTGGCTCTGTAAATTACAGCCATCTCTTCTGCCTGGTTTCATCCTAAACAACTTCTGAGTTCAGGAATGGCCAAGAACCTTTTTAACAAACAACAGTTGGTACTATATGAAAGCTCTGCTTTTTATGTCCTGTGCATCTTACAAACTTTAAGACTGACTGTGCAATGCTTGCACACCCAAAGCTGCCAGTGATTCCAGTGAATGTACACAAGAATGCGTCAATTAAGTACATTTCCATCCAGTTATGATCAGTGCTTTTAACATAAGAGGACCAAAAGGGGAAAAAAAGGTGCAAGAAATAAAACTATACATATGTATAATACTTACATGTGTATAATACAAATAAAAGGTACAATGGCTAGCCTTCCTCTTCCTCTGCCAGAGGACTGTTTTTCATTTATGTTTTTAGTGCAAACTTTTGTCTCCTTTTTTTGGGATACCACTAACTAAGGCTTTCTATCTGCTGCTTTCTCTTCCAGGTACACTGAACAACAATCTGTAATATATGCTTTCCATAGACAGATCTAAGATTTTGAAAAGGGTGTGTCAAGGATTGCTACAGATCCCCTGACTCCCAGCACCCCACCCCCACCACTTTGCTTTACACCATAGCTGCCACCAGCTTGAGCTGCCCCACCCATGAACCTCAGGCTGCAGTTCTAGTTCCCCATGGCCCCCAGTGCCTGGGTCCCTGTGGGTCTGGGCAGGAGGAACTGAGATCAGACCACAAGAGTGATGGCACAGCTGGAGCACCCAAGCCAGCAGGGGATACCTTGGTGGGGCTGAGCAGAGAGCAGGTATAGGAAGGGGGAACCCACCTGCTGCCTTCACTGTTCCTAGCTGACCAGAGGTGGTGAGAGCCCAGGGGAGGTAGGGCCACTCCTGCCCGACTCTAGCCAGGGGCTGCAGGGAGTGGTTGTGTGGGCTACTGAGCTTGGTCAGGAACTGTGGTAGTGGCAAGCTAATCCTCCCTTCCTACACCTGCTCCCTGTCCAGCCACTCCAGATGATCCCTGCCAACCTGAGGAGCTCGAGCCTCAGCCCCATCATCCCCATAGTCTGAGCTCAGTCTCTGCTGTCTGGACTATGCAGGGGACCTAGGTGTCTCATAGGGCACAGGGAACTGCATGTGCTGCCACGTCTGCCAGAGAACTCTCTGTGCACCCACCAGATCCACCCCTGATTTTCTGGATTTCCATATCCCTCTCCTTTTCACCCTTTCAACAAAACCAAAAAATCCCCCAAAGAACATCCTTACAAACAAAAAGCACTGTAAGTATTATCACAGAAACTAACATCTTATTGCTTCAGTTTATGCTTCATGTACAACAACATTTTGATTTCCAGGTTCAGCACTGAAATCATTCTATGAAGCAGCAGCACTCTACCACTGTCATTATTCACATGACTGGTATCAAAACTTCTATTCAGCTGGTAAAAGTTGTGAATATTCAGCATATCTGAAGAAAATAATTATGATATCTGAGAGATTAATAAGGGGAACAGAAGAAATTGTTAAATAAAACTACTAAATTTCAATGGTAGTTGGTTAACTTTTAAAATCTATCCTCAAATCCTTAGAGCTGACTTTCAGCTAAAACCCTAGAAACCAATGGGGGCTACGAGAGAATATAGACTCCTGCCCCTCTTGAAATAAAAAAATTAAGTTCACCCTATGCTTCTAGCTACCATACAGAAGATATTGGCATGTGTCTACTGAAGAGGGGCCCTTCATTACCTTAGTGGAAACATAAACCATTTACTCATTTTCTTTCTCTTCATGTTCAGTACTGATCACCACAGCAGAACCATCATTGCTTAGTGCTACTTTGCCAGTAATCAGCTTGCTTAAGTTCTCAAAGGTGCCACAAAGTTTATTCACTTTGGGAATAGAAAAGATTTTTATAAGAGGTATGTAGACTGCATTTCCACTGACATATGTCTCCATGTTTCTGTCATCAGCAAGTTTTTCACCTTCAGCTAGAGAGGGATTCTTTGAATGCCTCATGAAATAGCGAGGTAGTTGGAAGTCGGGTTTCATCTCGACAAGACCATTGCTATGCTCCTTATATACAGAGTTGAAACTGTCCAAGAGTCGTCTGGTAATAATTTGTGCTGTATTAATAACTTCACTGACTACTGCATTCTGCAGGTACTTCTCATCTTTAAGACTTGGATACACTGCTTTGAAAATCTTTAGGAAAAGTAAAGAATCCAAAAGATTAAATATTAAAACATGCTCAGAAAATGTTATAAACAACATGCATCTAAAAACAGTGTATTTGTACTCAGTTTTTTATCTTGATATCCAAAAATATTATATTTAATAACTGTTATGATTGTATAATGATGTTATAATTTTATTGTACAAACAATTTAAATAACATGTTGATCCAAACTCCACTCTCATTTATACAACCGTACACCAGACTTCACTAGACTTTTATACTGTAACAAGTAGGAGAATTACTTTAGTTATCAACAGAACCGCAAAATCATAGATTTCATAGACATTAGGGCTGGAAGGGACCTCGGAAGATCATTGAGTCCAGCCCCCTGCCCAAGAGGCAGGAAGTCAGCTGGAATCATAGGATCCCAGCAAGATAAGCATCCACATTTCTCTTGAAGGCGTTCAGTGTGGGTGCTTGAACCACCACCGGTGGCAGGCCATTCCAGACCTTGAGGGCTCGAACAGTAAAGAAATTCTTCCTTATGTCCAGCTTGAAACGGTCTTGCTGCAGTTTATAGCTGTTCAACCTTGTCATCCCTTGGGGCACTCTGGTGAACGATAGTTCCCCCAGATCCAGGTGAACACCCCTGATAAACTTATAGGTGGCCATCAGATCGCCCCTGAGCCTGAGCTTTTCCAGGCTAAAGAGCCCCATAGCTCTCAGCTTGTCATCATAAGATCTGTTTTCCTGACCTCTGATCATGTGCGTGGCTCTTCTCTGGACTCTCTCAAGCTTCTCCACATCCTTTTTGAATTGTGGAGCCTGTCTCGGACGGCCAGGGCCGACTCGAGTTACGCTCGTACGTCAGGGCGGGCTGGTGAATGGAGAGGCTGACAACTTATTGGTTGTAAAAAACTTTACTCACGCCGCTTGCAATCACGACGCAGGTGGTCCGGTCGTCGGAACAACCACACGAGTTGCTCCAGCTGGCGGGGCCCAAGCCAGTTAATCCG